TCTTTTTGGTTCTGTGTTCGTTGCGTAGAGCTACTTTTCACAAACCGCTTCCTAAAGGGAAGTCTTCTCCGAGAACTACTGTTGTGGAAACAGGGCCTTTTCAGTAATATCCCTGAGACGGAGTCCGCCTCTGTCCGGGGCCACTTTTGTGGCCGAGAACCGTGGATTCTGCTGGAGGCATTTAAGACGGCCCGAGCCTGCCGCACGGGGGCCACCTCCTTGTCCCCGTCCGATGTTTCTGTGTCAGAGTCTCCAAAATGCAAGCTGGACGAAGGTGAAGAGGCACAGTCGCTAAAGGAAGAGTCATTGTCCTCGCTTTGTGTATCGAGACGTTGCATCGTCCCTAAAATGGGGGGCATCTCTTTGCCCCCACAGTTCGGAGCATAGGAAGGGCCAGCCTGCTGGCTCTTGCGTTTCTTCCTCGCGACAATGGCTTCTTGCGCAGGTCGACTTCCGTTCAGGTCTTTCTGCTTCTGGGTGTCGCCACAGAGGTGAGAGAATTCATCCCCCACTTTGCTGGCAATCATCTTGACTTCTTCCCCGGGGAAGTTTTTGGCTGCCTCAGAGGGTGGAGGGTTCAAGAGGATCCCCTTCAGGTTTTCCTGGCTCTTTGGTGCACCAGAAGAAACGTCACTCTTCATATCCGCTTCTAGCGTATAGACGCTATGACATTGAGGGGCCCATTGAGACATGGGAACACTGCGCAGGGGCCTAAATGGAGACAAACATAAGACCCAGTTATTCTCCACTTCCCAGGACTGCTAAGGAACTTCAACTCCCAGAATTCCCCAGCCAACTATGATTGACAAACATTGGCTACGAGGCGCCTGGTCGGAGTGACTTCTACCCTTCCCCGAGCAGCCAGAAATCCCTGGTTCTGCAGCCTTCTCTGCTTCCCCCAGAGCAGCCCCTTCCCTGCCAACAGCCTCTGGTGTCTCAAGCCAAATGAAGCCAGAATGGAAGGACATGCAAAGACAAGGCGGGGCACCAGAAAGAGTTTTTCACCTGTGAAGGAACCACTAGGAATTTTAGATTTCCTATGGTTGGAGGAAGTAATAAATGCTAATTATATTTCTGCAAATATCACTGTGTTAAAATGCTATTGATTGTACTGAGGATAGTTTAGGTTTTCACACAATGCTAATCATTTTATCGGCTACTGTAACTTGAATAAACTAAATTAACTTTAAATTTAGAAATAATTCCTAATAATATTAGGGAACACAAGATTGCTTCCCAAATATTCTGGTTGATGCCAGAAACTAAAATCACAGGGGGGAAATGATACAATCAAGGCAGAGAGATGTACTGGAGAACTGGGGCTTGTTTTATTAAGGGCAAGAGACATAAAGGGTCCATGTGCTTTCTTTCCTCCACTCTTACCTCCAGTGTCTCTCTCCCCCTCTCACCCCAATATGTGTAAAAGACTGGAAGGGATCTCACTAAACAAACCATCATTAATTAGCATAACACTCTTAGTTGCTAATTATGGATTCCAAACCACTATGGTTTTGTTCATACAAATTAAGCCAAACCAGCTGTACAAAGGCTCATTGGCTTGAACTGAGTAGTCCAATTTGTCTTTTGTTAAATTGTGAATCCATGAAAAATTGATATTTATCCACAACGCAGAGAGAAAATTCAGGATGTGAAGCTTAGGTAGGCCTGGGCAGGCATCTGCTTACAGGGGACCCTGCAGGGGGCAGGAGGGAATGTCTTGGACACCTGCTTCCCAAATCCCGCACCCAGGTGAGAATTGGCTACTACTGTCCTCCTAGTCATTTTCTTAATTAAAAGTTGTATTGCTTCTCCACATTTGGGCAACACCAGCAATGAAAAGGTTGGCTATTAGGTTCACTCTAGGCTAGAGCATCCATCCAGGACGGCTGTGGTAAAAACAGTCAGCCGGTAAGTCTAGCTTAATTAGCAATTACATTTCAGAGTCGTTAACAATTTCCTTTATTTTACACCTTATAGAATAGTGTTAGACAAACTTAAAGCATTCTCAGCCAGAATCCAACAAGGCCTCATTGCTAGTTGAGAGCAGAGTCATACCCAAGGCATTCCAATCTTTCTGGCAAATGCATCCATTCCTCCCAGAGGCATCTACCAGAGTTTTATAAACTTTAGCAAAATGGTCCAGGTTACATCAGCCTTCCCACATTGGTTCTCTTAAGTATCCCAGCAATTCAAATGGGTTGCATCCATGAGAAAAGCACTTGGATTGAAAGCACCATTTTTACATCAGGGAAAGTGGGGTGCCCAGGTTGGTTCAAATCTCCTTCTGGGAGCTGCTCCCTCCTTTGCCCACAACAGAAGGGCATAGAGAGCCCCTGATGCCACAGGCCCAGATCCATCGTATTTAGGATAAGCAAATCAACTTTTCTAGCCAGCCATTCCAGCTCACCCTCCAATCCCGTGCAAAGTCCGGATTTTGTTCCTGCCAGACTTGGCCTTGCCAAGACTGAGTGATAGGCAATGGCAGGTCCAAGTTATTTTGCTAGAGAAGCCATGAAGTTATGCTACCTGGTGCTGACCGGACTGGCTCAGTCAGGGGCTTCCTGTGTCCCCCTGGCTGCAGTGGGGGCAAGAAACTTTTCTAAAACTGTAATTCAGCTGGGGAAATCCTTGTATACTGCCCATTAACAGCCCCCAGCCCACTATTTATACAAGCCTTTCCCACACATTACATTCCTTTCTTTTTCCAGCTTTTTCCAAAATTTTCTGTTATGATTTTTTCCCACGTGATTTAGAGCCTTAACTGTCAACGATGAGAGAAATAAAGGTTAGAAACTGGTTTTTAAAAGGTCTGTGTCTCTTTGTTTATAGTTTATAGCCAGCCAGTCACCTTGCAGGGGAGATTGGTGATATTAAAAATGTAATAAATAAAATAAAATAAAACTTTCCCAACTATAATCTTTTTTTTGTCCTTATGCTAAACAGTACATTATTGCCAACTGTCATTGTTCTACACAAAACCCAGCATCAGGGCTACTATTACTGGATTGCTCATTAATGGTTGAAGAACCTGGTACAACTGTGGCCATAAAAATGGAACATGTTTCTGATATCCTTCCATTAACTCAGCGGAAATTTCCCCTTTGGTGCCTCAGCAACTCAGCCTCCGGTGCAATTTTCCCGACCGAGAGATTCAGGGAATATTATTAAAATAAGGTGAATTGGCACCGAGGGGCACCCCGGGGGCTCACAGGGGCTCCAAAAGACGCGCACTCCATTCCAGCTGAAAGCCATTGGGGGTCGCCCAGGGAGAGTCTCCGGGGCCAATTCAGAGGCCCCTCGTAATTAGGGAAGGGGGCGAAGCAGCGCGGACACCTTGGAGCCACCAGCCTTGCAAGGGAGGCCGGACGGGCTGCAACCCCCAGGGATCTCGGATGGAAGCGGGCCTGTCAGAAGGACCTGAAGCGGGCAGCTACAAAAACCAGCCAGGAAGGGACGAGGAAGCATCCAAGGGTTCAGGCCTGGCTGAAGGGCGGGCGGGCGGGGGGGGAGGGAACCCATCTCAGACGCCCCCCCCTTATTTAAAATGCAGAGAGCGACCCTCTGGGCCTCGGAGGAGGAGGAAGGGCGGCCTCTCTGGGAAGGAAAAGGGCCAAGAATCCCCCATCCGGGGCCCCCGTTAGGAAGCGCCCCCTCCCCCCCGCAGGCCCGGCCTTCTCTGCGGCTGGATGCGGGGAGGCCTCGGCGGGCGGCCTCCGCTCGGGCGCCCTTTTGCCGGCCTGGGGGTCCCTCGGGGCTGCCACGCAGTCGCCTCCCGCGCCCGGGACCCCAGCCGCGCACCTCGAGCGGCAGAGGCCTCGCCCGCAAGCGCCCCCAGCCTGGGCGGACGATGGGCGATGTAGTCCGCCCCGCGGCCTGCTACACGAAGGCCCCCCCACCCGGTCCGCGGCCTGCGAGAGCCCGGCGGCCCCCGCCCCGGAGCCTACCTGAGGGGGCCGAGGCGAGGGGCGGCGGCCTAGCCGGGCCCAGCAGGCGCCGGATCCCTCGCCGCCGCGGCGCCGCCTCCGCCTTCCTGCCTTCGCGGTGCGAGGCCGCCGTCCCGCGAGGGCCGCCGCTCTTCTCCGGCCCCGCCGCCGCCGCCGCCTCGCCCGCCGCTCCCGTCCTCCCTCCCTCCCTCTCCGCGGAGGCAGCAGCGCGACACCCGCGACGCTTTACGGCAGGCCGCCCGGCGCCCCCAAGAGGCCGCGGCTCTCTCGCGCGCCCGCTTCCGGATCCCCGTGGACGCCGCGGGAGGGGCCGCCTCCGCGCTCCCCTAGCTGGCTCGGAGGGCTCGCATCGCTCCCTCGGGAGAACCCCGCGCTCTCGCCCGCCGCCTGCGCCTCCCGCCGCCCTCAGCGGCCGCTTCCGCCGGGGGACGCCGCAGCGCAGCACGGAAGAAGCGCCGCCGCCCCGCAGGCGTCGCAGAACCCGAAGTGTGGGGGAAACGCTCTGGGCGGCAGTCTCAGGCCCTTTGCCAGCGACGGAAAAGGCCCGTCTAGGCCCGCACGGAGCGCCCCCTGGCGGCCGGGGGAGAGAGCGCGGCCGCCAGCGCCGTCTCCGGGGAACGATGGCCCACCTTTCCGGGTTGTTGTGCACGCGCTGCAATAAAAGGCGCCGCGGGCGGGCTCGGGCGTTCCGGCTCCAGGGCTGCCGGAATTGAGCGGCGGCGGCGGCGGCGGCGGCGCGCTGGGAGAAGCTCAGGGGGAAGGGAAGCGGGTCTCGCGGGTCTCCTTGCGGCCGGCGGGAGCATCGCGCGTCCTGGTGCCGGGGCGCAGAGCCCCGCCGCGGGTCCCCGCCAGGCTGACCGGCGAGCGGCGTTTGCCGGACGCGCTCGGCCCGGCCGGCCCGGCCATCGGGAGCCCCGCCGCCCCCTCCGACTTCAAGCGCCCGCCCGGCGCCGCGCCGCCCAATCGGCGGCCGGGCCGTTCTGCGCAGGCGCGCCCGGCGGCATCCGGGTCCCGTGGCGAGGCGCGCGCCCAGCGAGGCCGCGGGTGGGGGAGGGGCGTCGTATTGTGGCCGCTGCCGAAGCGCCGCAAAATGGCCGCCGCGCCGTCTGGAGCCGCCGCCCCCGGATCGGCCCCGCCGGAGGGAAAGCGGATCGCGGAGCTGCGCGTCATCGACCTCAAGTCGGAGCTGAAGCGCCGCAACCTGGACACGGCCGGCGTGAAGACCGTCCTCATCGCCCGCCTCAAGCAGGTGCGCCCTGCAGGAGGCCGCGGGCCCAGGCAATGGCGGGCCGGGCAGGCGGGGAGGCCCGAGCGGGGAGGGGGGAGGGCGCGGCGGCTGCGGAGGGGCTCCCCTCCTTCGGTTCCCTCCCCCCCCCAGACCGTCCGCGGCTCAGCCCAGCCTCTGCCCCGGGAGACGCCCGGCCAGGCAGGGAGGCGGCCTTCCCGGCTTCGGATGGGCCTGGGCGGACTCAGAAGCCGTGGCCAAGCGAGCACGCTTCCTCCCCCTCCCCCTCCTCGGCCGAGGGTTTCTCGCCTTGCTGGGCAAAGGCTCTTTTGGGGGTGAGAAAGTTGCTCGGAAAGCGTGTCAGGAGAGCCTGGGCTGAAATGGAGCAACCTTCCCAAAGTGACCAAGCTGCCAGGCTGCTCTTCCCTTCTCCCCTGCCGTTAGGGCTCTTCTTTCAAACGGTTCCTCCAAAATGCACTGAGCTCGAATGTCACGCTGTAGGTGCCAAATGACAATACAAGGGCAAAATGCAAGTATAAAATAATCTCTTATTATTTTCTATTAGGCTATTGAAGAGGAAGGAGGAGACCCTGATAATATTGAAATAGCAGTTTCGACAGATGCCCTGAATAAGAAGCCAACCAAAGGAAAAGGTTAGAACTTAAGTAAAACGGTTTTGTGAATGATGATCAGATGGTCTGTTTGCTTACAGAAAAATATTTTAAAATGAGTAAAATTACCTTCTTGGGTGCTGAAATGCTATCTAACTTCGTTGGCCTTGATTGGGGGAAAAATGACCGCCAATAGCAATTGCACTTCTGCTTATATACTGCTCCACAGCGCTTGACAGCACACCCTGAGTGGTTTGCGATGTCAGCGCATGGCCCCCAACCGACTTGCAGAAGCGCTATGGCATCTCCGGGATTGATTGAAGAACCACGTTTTTAACGTTCTCCAGAAAATTAACAAAGATGGGGCTGGTTTAGGTTTCAGTCTATTTGTTTAAAGTATTTACCAGTATGCCATAATAAAAGATTTTAATTAGTATGTCCTGGCTTCTAGGTAAAAAGCAGGAAATTGATGAACTAAGTGGTGATGCTTCCGTGGAAGATGACTCCTTGGTTAAGGTAATATTATGAGAAACAAAGTTGGGGATTTTGAGCATCCTTCCTTGGGAAAAGATCATTAGAGCTTCTGATGCAGATTCCTGGGTTTCCTCTGCACACTTGATAATTGCAGAATTTTGTTTGATTTCTAAATAAATATGAGAGCTTCTAAACTGCTATCCTTGCTCTAATGAAACTATAACTGGACTGCGAATCAAAACAGCAGTGATAGCAAGGTATTATGAAAGCTCAGTTCAGGAAGCATAAACAGCTTCCTAATTTGCTGGAGAAACCTCACTAAATTGGCCATTTCCCTCTGCTGTGTCAAATGTTCATATTGAAAGGAGTGTGAACTGGAAACCCACGATGCAAGTGATCATGATGGAAATGATGAATTGAAAGAATCTGAAGAATCTGCTGAAAATGAAGAATTCTTGAATTCTACCATGCTGCCTCGTGCCGATAAGAAGAAATCTAATTTAAAGCAGATAGAGAAAGAGTTGGAAAATCAGGTACCCTACAAAATCCCTTAAACAGACACTGTTCACCCAATTTCCAGATAACGGAAGATGGCACTTGTTACATTCTGTGAACTAGTAAGAAAGGCCACCAAGTCATTATTGTTTCCTCCTCCTGCAATGTTATTAGTCTTTTCTCTTGGTGATGCCTTGGGGGGCTTAGCTGAATACCCTTCCCACTGTGTTCTTCAGAAAAGTGGCAGCCCTGATTTAGCATTGTCACCTGGGATCCAAGGGGTCATAAACTCCAGAGGTTCTTTTACCAGGCTGGCTATATTGGCACCTGCTGTCCTTTGGGATAGAGGTAACTGGCCGTGGTGATTTGGCATTAACGGGTGAAGCATTAGATGGGCTCAGGTTTGGCTTTCTTGCTTATCAAATAAAAGCCATAAATTGTAATCTGGTGGCCAGCCTTTGAATATAAATTTTTAGTGCGTCAGCAGAGACAAGAAGATAAATAGATGTTTCTTGGATTTATGAGGTTTAATAATTACTATTCTACATTCTTTCATCACACGCATAAAGGTAGAAGGTAAAGGAGTCCCTGTTTACTCCGCTAGTAGTTGTCGACTATCGAGGGGTGGTGCCCATCTCCATTTCAAGGCTGTTGAGCCAGCACTGTCCAAAGACATTTCCATGGTCCTGAGGGCCAGCATGACATCATGGAGCACAGTTACCTTCCCACCAAGGTGGTACCTGTTTAACTACTCGCATTTGCATGCTTTCGCACTGCTAGGTTGGCAGCAGCTGAGGCGAAGACTCACCCTCTTGTGTGGCACTTGAGTCTTGAACCTGGGCTACCAAGGTGACAAGCCCAGCATCTTAACCGCTGAACCACCATGCCGCCCCCATCTCACACATTCCCCCATCTCACACATTCGAAATATGTATTTCATTAAAGAAAAAAATGCAAGGAAGGAAAAAATACCCTGTTAGGAATCCTGAAGAAATGATGGCTGGAAGTCTTTTTGTCCTCTGCAGAGCTAGTGGTAGATCCTGGTGTACTTGATGATCCTGGCTCAGCGTTCCTTGTGCTTTGCTCCAGCCATAGTTTGTGAACTCCCATGTCGAATGTTACTGTCCTTTTGAGTGACTACATTAGTGTCGTATGCCTAAAAGCTTGTGTGGAGGTTAGCTCTTCATCCCAACAATTTGGGTAAAGGCAAGGAAAAGAAGCAGAACCGTCTTCTTATTCTATTCAGTATTGTGTTACGGTTAGAGGAAGTTCCCTGTTTAGGATATTTTTGGGGCCCTACATTATTAGCTATAGCTTACTTTATGGGGAGACGGTGATCCATTAACCGTGGATGGTGTCCTGTTTATTGACTTGACCAGTGTGCTTTGAATGAGCTCAGTTTTCTAAAGTGCCATAAACATGTCTGGAAGAAGCCTAAAGTGGCAATGTGCAGTGAAGCTAGAGATGCTGGAGCCCCTTTTGGGGCTCATTGCTGGCTAGGCAGGGCTGCTACTTCAGAGGAAACTCCAAGAAGAGTGCCAGATTACCAGGTCTTGCTTGGATGCCTTCCTGGTGACTCGGTGCAGCAGCTACTTAGAATCAATTGTCCAAATGCAAGTTTAGTATTAATACATCAATGTTTACGTATTCATAGTAAGCCAACTTATTTAGTCTGCTTTGATTTATTTCTTCATTTTAGTGCATCGATATTCAAGATCTGGAAGATGACAATTTTGCTCCCACTCATGTAAGTTCCTAAATAGCTTTTGAAAGATTTATTGAGAAGCTGGAAGTAGCTGCATTTAACCTACTGTAAAATAATAATATTGGCCTGTTTGAAGTTTGAGATTTTGTTGTATCCAAAAAGATGTGTACACCTCTGACTTATGTCAGGTTATCTGGTGCTTCTTACGAATGGTGAAGTCACTGCCTGTACGTGTGTGGGTGTAGGAGTGACTTGTAGGACAAGCCTTCGTTTCTGATATAGAATGACACAAAACCTGGTGTTTCTTTAAATATTCATTTTCTGTTGGCTTCATTTCTAGGTATTCCTGCTTTTATTGAGGGCCCTCTCCCTCTTCCCCTTACATGATCTGGAGTGCTGATAAAATAAGGGTGCGATGCCAGCTTTTGTGATCATCCATCCAATGTTGCTCACACTCTGTTGAAGTGAGTGGGGAGTGAACAAAACTTGAAGTGACTTAATCAGAGAAAAAGGAATGTTTGCTGATTTTCAGTATCCCAAGCCTCAGTATTCATAAAGAAGTTTGAAGTGGCTCAAATGCTGAACTCAGCACAGATAGACTATCAGATTTTTCTCTGAGAATTTCTTGATTTTCTGAAAAATTGGCCACAGAAAAGTGACAGTGCCTCTCCCAGCTGCATCATACTATATGTTTTGAATGTCCCTTTCTAAATAGTAGAAACAATGGACTAATTGCAGCTGTGATTAGAGAATAAAGAAAATTCAACTGCATATAGATTTCTATAAACGGGAAAACTAATTGAGCATAGTGTTCCAATAGCATATCTTTGCTCATTTAAATGAATGGCAAGTTTGTTTTCTTAGTAACCTGAATGTCATTTCAGAATATTTCTTTTTTCTTTAATTGGCAGGACGGAGAAGAGAATGAGAGAGGTATGTCTGAATTTCAATAGAGTTTTGAATGTACTAACATACTTCAGGTTGCTCCCACCCTACCCCACCCTTTGGAAATAACAAGTGCCTTGGTTTGCTCCTTAAAAATCATCTCCCTAGTAACAGCCATTGCCAAAGAGAGTGGCTGAACCTCTGTTCGATTGGCTTTGTTCCTCCAACTTCACTTACTTCACTGGATCCGTACATACGGCCCCTCACAGGCCTTACTCGACAAAAGATGCTAAATTCTTTCGATTTAAGCCTTGTGGATACGGTAAGTCTTGAGGTCTACGCTGCACCTTGCACTGCAGTAACCAATAGCTGCCCAACGAAAGCTAAATGCTCTACAGAATGGAATTGGAAAGCCCTTCAGACTGTGGACCATGCCCTTCTTTCATGCTCTGGCAATTGTCATACCGTTCTTTAAAGCCATAAATGAGAGTCATCTCCTCAGTGATACTCCTAAAAGCCAAACTGGATGAAACTCTCAAGACATCTGTGAAGAAACTCCTCGTGAGCTCCCTTCAGGATCTTGCAGGTTGTAGTCCAAAGGACGTGATGGAATCATTGTGACTTCAACGAAAAGATGCCCTCATGAAATGGACCCTTAACGTGTGCAAGCTCAGGCTTGGCCTTTCTAAGGATTCCCACGAGTGAAGAAGCCTCTTCAGGGAAAGCAAGAGTGCCGGGACAGACCGCAACAGCAGGATTGAGGACGTTTGCCAGCTGGCCTTTGGATGAAGACTGCCAATCCAGGGTGAACTTTGGCTTACGTGCATGAAAACCTGCAGCCAGTCTTTGGAATGACAATGCAGCTGGCAACAAAAGGCAACACGGAGAAGGTGAAGGTGTTGGGCTCTCAGAAGCAGACGGGAAGACAAAGTCCTTGATCCCGAGAAGTGCAGAGACTTTGACTTCGGCCTCCTTAAGCCACGAAGAGGAGCAGATCTGCACATGGAAGCCCACAATGGAGGCCAGATACTTGTACTGAAGAATAGGTATCTCCTGGATGGAATCGTTGTCTGAACCCTGTTCAGGATTGGTGTTTTTGTCTAGAAAATTTGTTTACCATGAAGAATGAATGATCCTGGGTTTATATGTTAATACCCCTTATGTTCTTTCCCTAACCTTCCATCAGTTCTAATAATTGGCTTTGTATTTTCTAGGTCCTCTCTTCTAGCTTATGCATATGAAAATGTTTAAACTTCTTGTTTTGCCATATTTATTCCTGTTAAATCCTCTTAGATAAAGCAGGTTCTGGTGATGGTACACAAGAAGTATCTAAACCTCTTCGTTCAGAAGAGAGCCTAGCTGAGGCTGATCACTCGGCTCAGGAAGAGATGGAAGCTAACGTCTCTCTGAAAGAAGCTGATGATGATAACATATCGGTTACAATCCAGGCCGAAGATGCCATCACTCTGGATTTTGATGGGGATGACCTTCTGGAAACAGGTAAAAATCTGAAAATTACAGATTCAGAAGCAAGCAAGTCAAAAGATGGGCAAGATGCCATTGCACCGAGTTTGGAGAAAGAAGGCAAAGACTATGAGATGACCAAGAACCATAAAGATGGTAAGAAGGAAGACTGCGCGATGGGGGAGCCTGTCAAGAAGGAAGCCCGAGAAAGCTCGAAGAAAGCAGAATCTGGAGACAAAGACAAGGATACTTTGAAGAAAGGTCCCTCGTCTACTGGGGCCTCTGGTCAAGCAATGAGGTTTGTCTTTCTATGTCAGTTCTTTAAGGTACTGCCAGCATTCAATAAGATCACTCTGCATTAAGGTGGTAGCAGCAAGAAACTTATAATTAGTATCTTATGCTCCTGCCTGTAAAATATTTTGATGGCCGTAAGTTACCTGTGTGGTTTTTTTAAAAAAAAATAATAATAATCAGGATCTTCGTATATGCATTGACGAATTGACAGCATTTTATTTTTTGTTTTTTCAAATAGTCAAGTTTTAAGTAGCCTTGTGATGATAATGAACAACTCTCAGTTCTGAGAAACACCAAAATGAAGCCAAGTCCCAGTCTTGAAATGTGGAGAAGATTACCATATATCCACTGAATAAAATTGTCAGAAAATCTAGATCTTCGGGCATCTTGGGGAGAATCAGTGCAAGAAGCCATGATGCGGGGAGATCACTTTTCCTCCAATTGCAATGCATCCCTGCTTTTACTCACACACCTCATTCTCCTCCCCCCCCCCTTTTAATGATTTGGTTAATAGTGTAAGATTCTCAACAAGCAAGTTCTGCTTGTTCAGTCTCTGATTTGTTCCTCCTCCTAGCTTGGCCAAGGAGTCTAAAGAAAGCAAGAGCACCTCCAAAGATGACAAAGGTAATGCGCTGTGTCTGCAGAAGAAGCGGGTGCTTCTGACTTGGGGGAGGGAGCAGGGAGAATTGCTGCTAGGTCTCCTTGAGGGGGAAATGCTCCTTCAGCTGCTGCCTTTCTGGCAGAAGGTTTGGCTTACTGTTTCTCGTTGCCTGATTTGAAAACTCCTTTGAACAGGAGGCTGCTTTTCAGTTGGGAGATTTGGCTTTTGGGATTTCTGATTTTGGGTGGGGTGCCTTATTGTTGGGGTAGAGAATGTAACTGATCTCTAAATTTTCAAAGAACCCTGGAAAAGAAAGAAGGAATGGAGAATTAGGGGACGACTGGCTTCCCACTGGGTTCTTTGGTCATGCTTTCTCCTTGGTGGTGCTAAGAGCAAGCCATCTTGCTAGAAAACTGATTCCAAACTGTAGGAGTTTCCTTTCTGGTGCTGAAGTTGGTTTCTCTAATGCGTTGGTGACCAGAAGTTTCCTGCTCAACATGATGGATTTTCTGCCTGATGAGGCAGTTAAAAACACTGTGGCACGTGGCACATTTTTGCTCTCTTGTATTTCCACAGTAAGAGGAATTTGCAGAATTTAAGCAGCTAAGATAATATTGATGCTTAATATTGATCAATGATTTCAAAAGGAGGTTTGGTATAGAAATGTTTCTTGAAGAGAGTGAAGAAATGTTCTTTGTTGAGACATGAAAAATAATGCTTTGATTGTAAAAAGTTACTGAAAGAACAATTCTAAATGTTGTGAATTAAATTCTTTTCCAATTATAAGTAAATTGTTTATATGAACATTTAAATGGTTTGGCATATATCCTGCAAGACTGAGGTCAGCTGGTTCATAATTACAACTTACTTTGAAAATATAGATAGATAACAAAATAAAAGGTACCTGGGTCTTTTAAAAAAGTGGGAAGCAGACAATTCTTCAAACAATGTGGTAGGGGGAAGGAGAAACTGCAGCTGGCAAGAAGCAGTCGTCACAATCTAGGACAGTGGTCCATCCCCAACCTTTCCAGCTCTGGACCAGCAGCGGGGGTCGGGGGGGGATGGATGGTTTTGTGTGTGCGTGCGTGCTGCTTGTGCAAATGCACCTTTGCTCGCCTGTCACTTGCGCAGCCAGGTTCCCAATGGGCCGCAGCCCAGGGATTGGGGAGCCCAATGTCTCTTGCAGTTCTAGCTGGCTTCACGAAGCTACAAAGTAGAGTTGCCAGAGACCCAAAAGGCCATATCATATAGTGGCAGGCTAGAGAATTTGCCCCCAGCCTCTTCTCAGTGCCCTGGTCTGACAGCGGCTCTCTACTATCTTGCTTGCAGTCGAGTTGTGCGAAGGTGGCAGGAGAGCGTCCCCATGTTTTTCCTTTTAAAAAAAAGCCTTAATGCAGGTGGTGGTTGTCTGCGGTCTGATACATCTGCTGCAAGTTGCAACTAATCACAAAACCTTCAGTCTCATCCCTTGTTCTCTCCATGCATTGCTTCTTATCAGAAGAAAACAGTTTTTGCTTCCCTTTACTACACTGGTGATATTTGTGCCAATTGACCTTGAAACATTTTTCTGCCGAATTTCACTAGGAAGTGCCAGCAGCGGGAGCAGCTCCACTAAGAACTTATGGGTTAGTGGATTGTCCTCCAATACTAAAGCCGCTGATCTGAAAAACCTCTTTGGCAAGTATGGCAAGGTATGGCTTTGCTGGAGAGGGGCGATTAGCGACTTTGAGGTGGCAATCCTGGGTTGCGCCAGAGAGCTGCGTAGACAAAAGGAAAATGTTTTGCTGAGCTACGCTGTGGTGTACTCACAGGATTCTATAACTAGTCTGATCAGCAACCTAACCCTTGTGCAGTTGTGAGAAGAGGGGCTTATTCTGTATTTACCCAGATGAATGAACAATGTAAAAGATGTGAGACCATGAATGGGATTGGTTTTTTGGCCAAGGAGGGGTTTGGATGGTCATTTCCCACATCCTTTGACCCATAGCTCTGGGGAAGGGGTGTGTATGTATTCATGCTTTGTTATATAATAGGAAATGAGGTTGCTGTTCCTTTCTATGGACTATCAGGTTTTCTTGGTTAAAGAAGCAGGGGCAGTCAAGGCTTAGGAAAGTAGTAGCTGGAGTTTAAAATACCATATATTTTAATTATCATGACTTCTAAGAGGCAGGTGATGATGAAGTACATAATTTATATTGCAAAAAAGGCAGCTAAGAAAAAAGGACATTCTTCCTGGGGTTTTGTTCCGTCTCTTTTGTGCTTAAGCACTTGAGGGCACAGCATTCGCAGTAGCCATGCGCTAGGAGAACTAAATATATGAGAAAGAGCGGAGGTTTGCACACCTGCACTCAGGTACTAACACTGTGGCTCTTGAGTAAACCAGAGTAGCCAAGAGGCTGAAATAGTGGCCCTCTTCACCTGGCCAGGCCACCCTGTCTAGTGTTTTTGGCCCACCTAAACAAGCAGGCTGCTTGCAGTGGATTCCAGGGGAAGAGGTCCCTTTTGATGATTTTCCTGCCCTTAAAACTCTTTTCTCTTGGGTAGCCTTCCTACAAAAGGGGCCCAGGAAAGGTGAGCAGAGAAGATGTAAGTGGTGGTAGAGCCCCCAAGTAAGACCAGTTTCTCCCAAATGAGGACGGGCTGCTAAAGCCCCTGAGGGTTCAGTCGTAGGGCCAGAGTAGCAAAATGATACCTTCATGTCAAAATGAGCTTCATGGTTGTTCTTGGCTTTTGTAGGTCCTTGCTGCAAAGGTGGTCACCAGTGCCCGAAGCCCTGGGGCAAAGTGCTACGGCATCGTGACCATGTCCTCGAGCACCGAAGTGGCAAGGTGCATTGCCCACCTTCACCGCACAGAGCTCCATGGGCAGCAGATTTCCGTTGAGAAAGTAGGTGGGATGACACGCGGCCAGCAGTCTCTAGAACAGGGAGGAGGAGGAGAAGAAGAGAGGGGAGAAAAGGTGGCGCCACCGGTTTGATTTCAGCAGTAGCCTACGCGTGTTTCGCTCAAGAAACCTTGGGCTACCTAGCCAGTTCTTGTGCAGGAAGCCTGCAGAATTGAGGAAAAGGGCTCCTGTCAACGACCTGGTTTGAAAAGAAGCCTGGAGATGGGCCAGATTTGAGAAGTGGGCTAGGCAGGCCATTAGCGGCTCGGAATCCTATGCAAAAGTTGCAGTGGAGAAGCTCCGTTGTGGAGGACTGACTCCCTGGAGTGTGTCATGACCCTCTTTGGAGCCTAATGGGGAAGCTCCTCTTCCCACTGGTCTCTTAACAGGAGAGGGAAGAGCCCTGGCCGGTCAGGTGATGGGAGCGTTCAGGTTCAGTGCAGAAGAATTCTTTGGGATTGGCATTGAAGACTTGATGTTCCCTTTTATTCATAATCATGTATGCATATGAATGTGTCTGTGTGTGTACATAATACATCTCTCTGTAGGTCAAAGGTGATCCTTCCAAAAAAGAACTGAAGAAAGAAAGTGATGAGAAATCTGGCTCTAGCAGGAACCCTGGAGAAAAGAAGACTACATCGAGTGACAAAAGCAGCAAGTAAGAGCTCTGCACATCCCCAAATATAGTTGCCCGTCTAAAGTGTTTGCAAAGAGCTAATTGTTCAGCAGGTAAAAGGTTTGGAAGCTCTGTGGAACATACACCTCCCCCAACACACACACACGCACACCAGCTTTGACTGCGGCTTCAGAAACCTGCCTTAAAGAGAATACATAACTTAGTTGTATCTAATCGCCTCCCTTCAAATAAACTGAAATTTTCTGGAAGCGAGTTCATCACCGTTTATGGTTCTTACTCCTATTTTTTAACAGAACTCCCTCCAAAAAGGAGGACAAGAAAGCTGATAAATCTGAGAAGAAAGAGAACAAGGATATGAGGAAGCCCGATGGAAAGGATGAGAAGAGTGATAGTGGATCCGGCTGCACCAGCCAAGAGCCTGCTAAGACCCCTGAGGACAGGAAACGGCTGAGTACGTCCGGGGGCTTCCTTACCGGGGGGAGGGGGCAGTGGCAGCGATCGCCTTATGCTGGCTGTTATGCGGTGATGGACTGCCCTGAACTGCGGGGAGGGGGGATGCGTGGGGAATGGAAATAGAGACTGTATCTCCTCAAGCCCCAGTCACCCAGCTGGAAGTAGGAGGGGCCTGCATGCTAAGCTGCGCTTGGACTGACCTTTATGAAAACATCTTACATGAACTTGATCGGTTACGTGGAGTGGGCAGCGAGGGCCAGTTGTGGGAGGAGTAGAACTTGGAGATTCTGAATTCTGGCTACGCGCTAGTGCAGCACACTTGACCTCTAATAAAACTATACCTTTCTCAACAAATGGAGCTGAGGATCGTTTCTATTTAGAGGTTTAGGTTGTGGCTAGTCTGACACCAAGTCTTACTCAGATTGGCCATTCTTGGCAAATTGCTCCAGGTATATTGGACTGGCCTCTCCCTCCGGTTTGGTCCAAAGGCCTGCTGCTGTGGTTCCCGCCTTAAAGAGAATACATTCAGCATGACTGGAGGGCATCAAATTGTTTTTCTGCTGGCAAGGTTTCAAATCCATCTGGGTTTTTTTCCTTCTGTGTTAAACATGTCTCTTTTTCTTCAAAAGGTGTAAAAAGTCCAAGTCATATGGTCATTTTAGACCAAACCAAAGGAGATCAGATTCACCCGAGGGCCATAAGAAGAGGAAGGTTTGAGAAGGTACGTAAAAATGCAAGCCTCGGCAAGTAAGAATGGAGAGAATAGTCGCTACTTTCTAAACCTGTAGGCGGAGGTAACAAGATTTGCAAATACTGTATATCTAAAAGCAGAGTTCTGAGGTTAGTTTGAAGAGCTGGACTGCAGAGATGGTCAGATGAGCTGTCAAAGACCTTTCCGTCCACCAGGGGGCAGGCTCACCAAGTACTTCTCCAGCAGCTGGACAGCACGGCCCCCAGTGCTGATGCGGAGACCCAAAACATTTCTTCTCATAAAATGGTCTTAGTGGCCAACTAGTTTTCCTTTCTGAAATTAGAGAGCGTGTATGTGTGAGAAACGTTCTCTTTTCAACTATCTTAAGCATGAAACTTCACAAAATGGCTCTTTTTAGCTGTGTTTTAGAATTGTTCCAAACCCTCAACTGAGTGCTTTGACCTCAGGAGGCATCCTGAGTATTTGACGGTGTTTGAAGGATTTTGCATTCAAAACAGCAGCTTCGCCCAATGTCAAGCTTCGCTGTTAGGATAGTTCAAAGTGAAACATTTTGCACATCTTAACTTCTAATGCATTAGGCCATAGTAAGGATTTAACAACTGTTGCTAAATCTGCATTTATGCAACTTGTCTCCAGCCACCTATGTTAAGGAACAAAGAGCGTTTTCTTCACGATAAAATGAAGTTCAGAGACTACCGAGGCAGAAAGGACATTTTGCCTTTTGAGAAAATGAAGGAGCAACGCATGAGGGAACACATTGCGCGATTGGAACGAATACGCCGTGCTGTGGAGCTCAGAAGGTAGGCCTCTGAAGCGGCTTTTCCTGAAGCTCCACAAGGACAGATGAACAGTTGCCTTGTTTTACATTTTTCTTGAAGCCAGAAAAAAAGAGAGCTTGGTTTGAAACCATCCCGTGCCCCGGGGAAGGGCTGGGCAACCTCCTTTTCCATTCAGGTGCAGCCTCATCTGGGACATCTGAGGGAGTTATAGGAACCTGATACACAGGAGGCAAACCTATCTTGTGGCCTCCCCTTCTGGGCTGTCCACAGCTGGGGTGGAGTCGGAAGCAGGAAGGTGGCAGGGGGTTTCTAAAGGCATCCTATAGAATTTTCCACCTGCCAACTTTTTAAAATACGTCACGGGCACCTAACTATTGCTTAGTATTACTTGTCATATTGATCAGGTTTCTTTATTGTTGAGATTGTTTCTCTTGTGCTTTTAAATATTTGGGTGTGCCTTGTGGGTACCCAGGAGAGGAGTTGGAAAAGTTTGAAAGTTTATTAGATTTCTGTACCGCCCTTCTCCCGAAAGACTCAGAGCGGTGTACAGCCATATTAAAAACACATAGATTTATAAAATTTAAAACCAATTAAAATCGAATATATAAAATTGGCCCTCAATTTAAAAACACACATACACCCATTTAAAATTCATATTAGGCCAGTCCGGCTTGCTGGAACAGAAGGGTCTTAAGGGCGCGGCGAAAAGTACGCAGGTCGGGGCTAAGACGAAGCTCTGGGGCAGTTCATTCCAGAGAGCTGGTACCCCCACAGGGCATTGTTTGGCCGACGGCACCCTGAGGAGCCCCTCTCTGTGGGAGCATATCGGCCAGTGGGAGGTTGTTGATGGCAGAAGGAACTGAAGCCTCTTCTTCTCTTGCCGTTCTGTGCCCCATGTTAATCCGGGATGGCCTCTCTCTGTGACGCCTCCTTTTGCAGGCGAAGGGAAATGGCAGAGCGAGAGAGGCGGGAGCGTGAGCGGATCCGACTGCTGCGGGAGCGTGAAGAGCGGGAGCGGCTGCAGAGGGAGCGGGAACGGCTGGAAATAGAGCGGCAAAAGTTGGAACGGGAGAGGATGGAGCGGGAGCGCCTGGAACGGGAACGCATTCGGATTGAGCAGGTGTGCTTGGGGCTCCCCGTTCATTTCACTTCTCTCGGGGGCTCCTCTGATTGCGGAGCGGTGTGCACAACATTTCAAATTTCAAATTTCTTGCGGGGTGTTTGAACCTCAGGGCAAAATGGCTGTTTTGCCACTCCAACTTTATTGAAAGTGTGCCAGCCCAGTTTAGATCATTTAGGAAGTGTTAGAACCCAAAACGAAGCTTTAGAAGAAGTAACGTGGGAGCTGCGTATCAGCCGTGTCAACTGATGAACCTTTTGCTCTCAGTGCAGATCAGCTCTCAGAAACAGTATTACCAGTAGTCCTTGATACTGCTTTTGCAAATGACTTCTGTGCTAGACTTTCTGCAACATGTTGGATAAAATGTTGACATTACGTGCCCCCCACCCCACCCCCAAATTCAGCATGGACCATGCAACTCGGGAAGCTGCAGAGCTCTGAGGCCTGGTGCAGAGCCAAGGCCTCCTCTTCAACAAGCGTTTCTCTCCTGATTAGGAGCGACGTAAGGAGGCGGAACGGATCGCTCACGAGAGAGAAGAGCTCCGCCGTCAGCAGCAGCAGCTTCGCTACGAGCAAGAGAAAAGGAACGCCCTAAAGCGGCCTCACGATGTGGATCACCGGTGAGTGGGCGCCTGCCACGGGAGTCCTCCTTCCTGAGCAAGTCTGGATGGTGCCAGCACTAGCAGCCCGTTTGGGAGCCCCATGGGTGTGGTTCGTGTGACTTGCCAAGCCCCGTGTGGTGGGCAGCTGTTTGGGTTTGCATGGGCTGTGCCTGAGAACTGAGGTATTTCTTCCCTTTTAGAAGAGACGAGTCCTACTGGAATGAAAGCAAGAAGATGACTTTGGACACAGATGCCCGCTTCGGCCATGGCTCTGACTACAGCCGGCAGCAGAACCGCTTTACTGACTTTGACCACCGGGACCGGAACCGATACCCCGAAGGCTCGGCAGTGCAGCCCTCGTCCTTTGACAGGTGGGTGCAGAGGAAACTCTGGGAGTTCGGAAGGCAAAATGACCTTTAGCACGAGAGGGCAGAGAACTGACGCCTCCGTGGCTTCATTGCACCTTGGCAAAGGAACTTCAGAAAAATAGGACCTTAAAACCCAGGGAAGTAGAGAGCAAACTTCTTAAAAATAGCTAGGATTATAATGGCAAAGCGTTGGTGAACATCTTTCTCACTATCAGATTATCACTTTGAGATTCTTTCAGTAAGAATTATTTTACCAGCATTATATTTGAATATAATGCTGGTAAAATAATTGACTAAAAATGGCCTTGGAATATATACCTTGAATTCCCTTTTGCAGGGAATTGTGTATGACTTGCTGCATAAAAGTTGTACAAAAGGGAGCAGATACCTCAGGCTTGTTATGGAGAGACAGCTTTGGTGTAAGCCTGAGCATTTTTATTGGAGGCCTAGTCTTGTGTTGCTCTTCTTTGTGCCAGGGATGTAGCTTTGCCAATCTGTCTGAGTCGGCACCCCTGTGCCTGACTGCAAGACTCCTCCGAGTTTGCGCTTTTTGCTGGGCCGTTCCCCAAGGCTGAGTTTTAGACTGGCAAAAGGCATATTTCATTCTTCCATCTGAAGACGCCCTTTGCTTTTCTGATCAGGCGTGAACGATTTGTCAATCCAAGTGATGGCAAAAAGACTCGTCCAACTGGAAGAAGGGAGGAGCCTGGATTTGAGAGGTACCCCAAGAACTTTGATTCGAGAAGAAATGAACCCCCTCAGCCTCGCAACGAGCTCCGAGACAGCGACAGGAGAGAAGTGAGGGGAGACCATGACGAGAGGAGGACTGTGATCATTCAGGAGAGGCCCAAGATCCCTCACGGCCGGCACCCACGGGAATCCGGGCCCAACCCCTCCCGGCAAAGCTCTTGGAAGGGTGAAGGAGGCATGAACCCCGACAAGCGGGATGCCAGGTGAGAGATGGCCAGCCGGGGGCCCAGGAGGAGGTCACTCCCTCCCAGCCTAAATGCTACATGCGATTGAAGCAGGGCCTGGAGCTGCGCTGAGGAGGGCTTTGGTTGGGCTATTCTGGCGCAGCCGCATCCCACAGCTTGTGGCCAAGGACCTCCGTGGAACAGGCCAAGGGACCGTTGCCTTCGGTTCAGCCCTCTTGGTGACAGCTCAGAGCACCAGGTTGACTCTTATTGTTTCCCCAGAGAAAGGACCGAAAGATCCGGCCGAGAGGTCTCCGGGCATGCTGTGAGAGGGGGCCCCGCAGGCAGCCGCAGCGGCGCATCTGGCTATGGAAGCAGAGAGGCGGAGCGGGGCGTGATCGAGCGGGGCAGTGGCGGACAGGTGAGCCTTGGAATGGGCTGGCGGTAAGCAGAGCCTTAGCTGTCCTCCTCCCACACAGGGAGGCCGCTTCAGCAGGATCTGGAAGCCCGCCCCTTGATTTAGGCTGCCTTTCTAGCCCTCTGAGCAACAGCTGCGGCTGAATGACTGGTGTAAACTCCTCCATACTGTTAACTCCGTCCAAGAATTGCACTCGGATAACTATTTCCGGAAGCCAATCTTGAGTTTCGTCAGCAGAAGCAGCTTAAAGGCATCGTTTCTCCTGTGTTTCTGGCAGTGAAGGCCCCACTGAGCACCTCCTCCTTCAGCCATAAACCAATCCTGAGAGACGCTGCAAAGGGTTCAGACTCCACCCTCCACCCATTGGGGCTTCAGAGGTCCCAAGTGGTGATTCGGGGGGGCAGGAGCAAATGGCCGCAGGTTGTTTTCTTGGGTTTTCACCAGTATGCCTCAGTTGGCGATTGTGCTGTAGGGCTGCCATTGCTGGACACCCCCCCACACACAAACACACCCCTAATCTGTGGAGGCCAAACATTTACATGAGGTCGACCATCTCTCTGTTCTCCATGGACCAGCTCTCTTCCATGCTTTCTAAAGGGTTAGATTTGTGGAAAATTTGTTTTGGTCTTAGATTAACCTTTCCTTCCTTCCTTCCTAGCATTATAATGAAGACCGCCATGTGGTTGAGCGGCACGGCCGTGATGCCGGACCAAGGAAAGAGTGGCACGGCCCCAATTCGCAGGGCAGCAGTTACCACCACGACACAAGGAGGATGGGAGAGCCAAACCGGAGGCGGCATGATGTCTTCTCACTTAAGGTACCGTTGATGCAGCTTCCTCCCCCCCCCTTCCCTCCCCAACTGAAATCTTTTAGCAGTTGACACTCAAGCGTGTGGCCCTTGGTGAGCCACAATTAATAAATCCATTCAGGGTATGACACTAAATGGAAGCCAGGAAATGCTGGCAGTCTCAGCTCTTAGAAGGCTTCTTCTACAGCACGAGGTACCCATCACAGGGCCCCCCCTTCCCCCGTGACTGCCATTTCTTTTCTGCCATTCCTCCCACAGGGGGCAGCAACCTGTTGCCACTTGCCCTTTTTGGCACCCCTGTTGGCAGTGTTTGGAAAGGCAGCACGGCCCAGCTGTTAAGACTTCAGTTTTTCATTCTTCAAAAGCTCATAGCTGTTTCTCTTTAAAATTTATTCCAGTAATTCTTCACCCATTAACAGAGTTATACAAATTGCCGGCAGTTCCATGCAGAGGGGAAGCGGTTCTGGATTTAAGCAATTTAAGAGTGGACCTCCACGAAGATTTTGAGCCCTTTCACCTGCTCGCTCCTTGGTTTCAAGATAACTTATTGGAAATCTCTTGTGAACAGAAAGCTTTGGATAAGAAAACTTGTCTTTTTAAAATTTTATTTTAACATAGTTACTTTTTCCTCACTTTGGAGGCATTTTAAGTAAGTTAGGCTGTTGGGTTTGGGGTAGTTCATGATCTCTTTTGAAGAGCGCTGCTCCCTCTAACTCTAGGAGCTCCCAAATAAATGGGAAGCAAAGACATGCGCGCTGTACAGAAACCCGGTAGTTTTCATTTACCAGCAGTAGCTCTGTGAACGTCAGGCTTGAAAATTAGGTACTTGCCACAAAATATATGGGTAACTGAAGCTGTACATCAAAAAAACAAAACAAAACCCCTGCTTTTTGGTGTGTAGAAAATACGGATGGTGGTTTTAATTTCTGGGTATTATGTAACTATTTTTGCAGAACTTGTTACACTGAGTGGATCCTTATCCAAACCAATGTATCTCCTTTCCAAATAAACTTCATAATCTCTATAGTACCTACCTGGATACCTTAATGTGTTCAGTCCCGCTCTCTGATCCTCACATGCTTTGTTAGTGTTGTTTCCCTTTGCAGTAAAAATGAAAGGATTTTTCAGAAATGGTACTGTCAATCCACAAAGCGTGATTGCCTGTTTCCTCGCAGAGATTTTCTGCTTATTAATTGCTGACCAAAATATGCCATTGGTCATCTTCCTGTCTGTCTAGTTTCCCTCAGCCAGTTTGGTTCTCCTGTTCTTGCCTAGGTTCTCCTGCATTCCTGTGCAGAAAAGTGAGTTTCTAGCATTAAGCTCCACCTGAACCCCACCTAGAGCTACCGAGTGCCAAACTTGCTTGGGTTGCATTGCGTTTTCTTCGGCATACTTGCACGGAGATGGCCGCTGACTTGTTGAAAACTAGAATGAAGTTGATCTATTGACTGGGGGTCAGCAAAAATGCTCTGGCTCATTTAGGGGCCAGGTCAGTCTCAACCTGGTGAAGGTCTTGGCCAAAGCAATTACCTTTCACAGGATGCCCGACCCCACCGCAAGGGCAGGCAGGTTAGGTTTTGGCTTTGGCTTCTCTGCTCAAACACCACAAACGCTAGAACTTGAATCAATTTTTATTACATGAGGAAGTCACTTAAATCTGTTAAAAATTATAAATATAAAAATTAGACAAGACTAGCAACAGGTGTCAGCTCAAGACATCAAAGAATGTTGACAATATTCAACAGAAAGCAGCTATTCGCTGATCACAGTGTAAATCCATGCAAAGAGTCTGATTTGCTAAAAAAAGCTGGTGATTGAGCCACAACTTCATAGTCCATAAATAAGGACTGAACAAAACGCTGCCTGAAGCTTGAATATGTCACATCTAACTGAGGCAGAAGGCCGTGGCTGCCACCACCACCATCAAGCCAGCCGAAAGCCACTCTGGCCCAAGGCTCTGCAGCAGGTGATGGGACGGAGCAGCTGAGTTGGCCCAATGGCCCTTTGCCTTACTCTCCATGGGTCCGGGTCTCCCGTGCGGCTTGCACTCTACAGTATCGTGTAGAAGGGAAGCGAAAGGGCTGCTGTGGGGAAGAGCCAAGCCATCAAGTCATTCTAGTTACGGACGGAAGCTCCTGTCACAATTGGCATGATTTGAGGGTTTTCAGCAGTATCTTACAAAAGTATTTGGCAGTGCTTGAGGGTTGTGCTGATGAACTTCGTTCTGCATGCATTCCCACAGCGGAGACCCTCGGCTGGTTACCCTCCCAGAACGCCCCTTGTGCATCTCCTGGGTACCTGCTATCGAAGCCCTGGTTCCCCGCGGAGGCAGGGCATGCTGGGCTAAGCTCAAAACATGGGCGTCATAAGGCAGGCAGGGCAGCATCACACGGAAGCAAAGCAAACGACAAAACAAAGTTTCTGCAGAGATAAAAAGGCAATTTACGTTGACAGTAACTTTGGGGAGAGGTAGCCAAGGTGAAGTCTGCTAGTAAGGCCTCAGGGACCGCCCTCCAGCTGCAGAAGCAACTTGACAAGCGGGGCAGGGGGGGGGCGTCCTTTGAGAATGAAGAGCCCCCTCCTGGCTACCACTCACCGAGTCTCCAACAGGCTGCCAAGCCGCCACAAGGATCGCTGTGCTGGCAAGACACGGAACCGAACTAAGCTGCTGCTGCTTGGCATGAAAGATGCCCTTCCTCTGTGCCCTTCTGATGAGAGGGAAGGGCCACTTCTCTACCCGAGAACCACACAGCAGGCGCAATGCTTCACCAACACTACAGCAGACAAAGACCTGAAGACAATGACCCCGGGTACAATTTGGGCAAGACCATTTCTCTGAAACTGGCACAGGCATGTGAAGAATCGGGAAACACGTCTTTGTTCGGCTCTCTCAGAACATGACTTCTAAAGCAAGCTGCCAGCTGGTCCTGTGTTTGCTAGATTTCTGCATTTCATAATGGTCAAACAGCACGCAACAAGCGGGTACAGGTGTAAGCTGCAAGGCTGATTTTTTTTAGGATAAACCTCAATCTAACATCAGTGGTAGGCTCTCAAAAGTTATTAACGCAGGACGGCACTCAAGTGTAAAACAGATCAGGATAATGCACACATATCAAATAAGATTGGAAATGTAAAAGAGATCTGCTTTCATATCACTCCAACATGATACAAGGTAAATTCAGTTCTGCGTAAAACATCACGTGTGTTAGCAATGGGCCAGGGCATTTCATATTTAAAAATGCATACACAGCAGATGCAAACCCAAACCACTTATGTGAAAATGTCGCTAAAATTAAATATTTATTTTTTCCCCACTTCATTGTCCTCTGGCTTAAGGTATTTAAAGAGCTGTAAGGCAAGAGTTAGACAGGTCACTGCCTTGCTAGTTTAGACTCCATCCAAAAAACTTCAGGAAAAAATATTAAGCTACAGATCTTCAATGACATTTCAATCATCTCCTTCCCTGTAGTTAGATTGTCACATTTTGTATGAATGTTGGCGTGGGACTCTGTATATCGACAGCAAAGTCTGGCCTTAAGTCCAGACTTTAGAAGTACAGCAAAAATGGTCTAAAGCATTTGCAAAGTGCTATAAAGTTATTGAGAGGATGAAGGTCACTGCCCTTCCTTCCTTGCAAAAGTCAACAGGTAATTCCAGCCAGAAGGCGCTCTATCCTATGACATGTAGCATGTGGATTTATATTAGGTCTTACAAAACTGGATTCCACCCCCACCCCCAGCGGTAACTGGGCACAGACATGTTTTCTCCAAAGAGAGCACAACCACGTCTTAAAGGAACAAGCAAGGATTCATTTGTTAGGATCCAGTCCTGAAACGATCCATCTCGCATGATACAAACAATGGACCCACAGTTCACATGTTGTGGCAGGTGACCGGCCACAGCTTCACGCAGCTCACGCTTGATGCCACTCTCAAACGAATGTAAGCATCTGCTTCCTTCATTGTCCCCCCTCCCTACAGAGTCCGGCAGTTGATTAAAAACTTGAGAGACCAGGCCATGGTGAGCCTCGTCCCGAGGAGATCTCGCCTCCTTTTGCTTCAAGGTGTTCTGAAGCCCGATTCTTGGCCAGGTCAGCCACCAAAGCTCAGCTAGAGCCTGTTGAGGGGCTCAGCCTGCCAGTCCAGGGACACACACCCCGCCCCCCATGCCAGAACTCTGTCTGCAGTGCATCTTGGACCCCACGTCGCATCTTCTCGTGATGATCCAAAGATGCCCACGAGGCAGGCAGTGAGCGGCTTCTTTGCCACTACGGGGGCATGTTCACCATCTCCCCACCACGCTCCCTTCCACAGCAGGCTGTCCCCCGTCCAGATCCCTCGGCAAGGCTGTCTTCGTGGGGATCTTCAGGAGGCCATCGGCTGTGGGCTTCCCAGACACTGGTGGCGGGTGGGCCTCCTGCTCCCATGCTTCAGACGGACATGCTGGGCTCCAGAGCCACCCCACCGCTACAAAATGGCACAGGCGCTCTTCTCCTTCTCCCGCAGCTCTTTCCTCTTCCGCTCACTGCCCCCGGGCTGCCTTTCTGTTGAGGGAGGGCTGGCATCGTCCTGGGTTTGCTGTTCAAGGAGGAAATATAAAGAAAAAAAGGCTGCTTGCTTGCATCCTTAGCTGAGCTTCCATGAAGCCAAAGACCCCAAGATACAGACCAAGGGACACAAAGTGCACCCTTATCTTACACCTGGCCTGCTGAGCATTGGCTGGAGGGGCTGCAGACATGGCAAATCCCACAGACAGTGCAACTGAGGCCCAGGCAGCTTTGGGATGGAAGGAGGCTTTAGCATAACTATTCTGAGATCAGAAAATAACACTTTCTCTCATGATTTCTCAACAACTTTATGAAACAAAATATATTTTTTCATGAGGAACACGATTACCAATGTGGTATCAGAACATGCCAAAACCAGGGCAGAAAATGAATCTGAAGGCCATGCAGAAACCCAGCTTGAGCCTCTTTCCAAGGCACACAGAGCTTCTCCAAGCAGTTCCTAGTGAGATGCCAGGAATCCCAGGCACTGTTTTCTGCCCTTGAATGCCCAGAACCACTTGGAGATGTGCCAGGAACCAAACTTGGGACATTACGCATGGAAAGTGGCCACTGAGCCACGGCCCGCCCTTCCTCCAACAGCTCCTGGAACTACGATTGCCCATTTGACTTTACCTGGTCTTCAGCAGGGGGGGTAGCGGTGGCGGTGGTGGCAGCTTGCTCTTGCTCCTCATAGTACTGCGAGGCCTGTCGATCTTCTTCTTCCTGGAGCTTCTTGGCCAGTTCGAGGTCACTGATGTCTTCAGGGAGCTGCTCCCAACTGAGGTCTTGGCTTTGCTGCTCTTGTTGCAGAGATAAGGCCATCAGATAGTCCTAAGAGGCAAAGCCACCAGCAGTGAACATGCTGGACAGTTTGGCTCGACCCAAGCAGGGCCCGCCCCCCCCCCCCCCCCCTGTGGCAGCACCTTCCATTCAAACTGAAGCTCAACTCATCGGTGAGCACTACAAGGCTTGGCCCCGGGTACAAACCCCAAATGCTGGATGAGAGAGGAGGAATCCTAGGGGCTTTCACCCTATCCCACCTCTCCATGGACAGCAAGACATCGTGAGAAGATTCCTGCAGGGGGACCTTTCATATGAACACACCAGAAGGAACTAAGGTGGCCTAACAGTTACTTTGGGGAAACAGGGAGTCCTGCCCTGTTTATTAGGGGGATAAAGTTATCAAAATGGGTCGGTCCAACAGAGTGGGTGGGAAGGAGACAAATCGGCCCCTGAAGAATAAAAAAAGTCAAAAGAATGAAGAAGCTTCCCATGAATACCTGGTCAATCTGATCCTGCTGCCCATGGTACACCGTTTCCGGATCAGATGGAGGCCGCAGGTGGAATTCAGAATCACAGAAGTTCCCATCCCCATCCACATTGTGCAAACTTTCCCAAACCACCTTATCTTCTGTAAGGAAACCTTGGTCGGTCACCAGAAGGTAAAGCTGGCCCTGAGGGAAAGGGGAAATTTCCCTGTTAACTGAGAACAGCCACTGTTTGCACTGAGATAAGCAACACTGCCCCCCTGCGTTCTCCAGAAACCATTCGGGGGTCTCCTTGACAAAACCGCCACTCTACTCTTTTACTTCACTCTGACAGCCACCGTAGCGAGCAATGACAATAGTTTGATGTGCATAGGACACTCTGCTTCCTTCGTGAATTAAGGTGTTTTCTGGGCTTGCACAATGCAGGCAATCACAAACTAATTGGATGAGCTTCTACATCAACCTTTGTCACATGCAAGCTCTCCCCCTCCCACCAAAAAAAAGGCTGAGTGCCTGGAGTTCCCCACCCCCACCCCCATCGAAGCAGCTTTCCTTCCCTGGAAAGAGAGCAAAGAGGCTCTGCAATCCAGCCAGGGGGTGGAGCAGCTGCAGACGAGGATCAACACCCCCTCGGCCCTCCTCACCCTCTGAAACAAAGCGTGGCTGCTATCTGAACAATCCTTCCACACACCACTAAAGGAAGTCCTGCTTCCTTCCTGCTTCTTGGCACAGGGGCTCAGCGAGCACACTCAGAAAAACAAAGCACAACCAGGAAACATCTCAGGGAAGAGACCCTGGTCGTGGGATGTGCTCCTCCTTGCTTTGCTACATAACATGTTTAGTGTGGCTTCTGTCCCATTCCGCAGGCAGCAAGCTTGTGGGAGTGGGGGCAGCTATTATTTTTGTTTAATTTTTCTGGTGCCAGAGCACTTGCAGGCCTCTTATCCTAGCTAAAGGGGCAGGAAAGAGCTCAGTGGGTGAATAAGCAGGTGGAGAAGACCAAAGAATGTGGAGGATAAGGAAGAGGGGGGGGGGGGGGGGGGGGGGGGAGGAGCTGAGAAAACAAAGCAGAGAGAGAAAGGCGAAGAGCAAAGGAAGCCTGGAGAGAGGCACAGGGAGAGTGGCATGCAACCCGTCCCCCCAGGTCCCCAGCATCCAGAGGCTGTGCACCTTTGCCTTAGTGGCCCCTCAGGCTGCCACGCCAGGCAGACACAGCCAGCCTGAAGATGAGAAGCAACCGAGGGCCACTTGCTGACCAGGCAGAAGCATTAGCAGCAGCCCAGGTGCTGAAGGTTGGTCAGGGTCCCAGGTGAAACGGCGGTGCCATTTGCAGCCAGCTACCTTGTGTTTGGTCATGGTGCTGAAGTGGTTGTTTCTGAAGAACACGCACAGCTCTCCTTCTTGAACGGTGGATGTCAATTCACACAAGCCATGGTAAGTTAACTGAGTGGCTGTGCTACTGAGGAACTGCTCTGCTACGGAGCCTGCAAAGAGACACCACTGCATGTGAATGCGCACAGACTTGCCCCAAGGTCCCCACCCGAGGAGCTGTTCCTAGTTCAACCTCCTAGACCAGCCAGTTGCTTTGCTCTGCTCACAAATCTGACCCAAAGTAAGCCTGAAGACTAGGGCAGAGATAGCTGGGGTAGGTTAGAAGGGGAAACACAACGAGCAGAAACCGAGAGAGGAAAAGCACAGAGCAGTAAGACAAATGGAGAACCAACACTAGGCTCATCAACACAAGCAGGTTGACCAAAGGGTAGCGCCCCCTTCCACAAAGAACTGATGGACACCCCAAAAATCAAACTCAGAGGTCAGACAGTCTATCAGTCAAGCTTTACTTGAGAAAACCCAGATCAACCCTAGGAAAGGGCCTTCCTGCCTGGCTTGCGGAGAGAGGTGGGCTCTTAGGAGAATCCTTAGGAGCATGGAAGAACCTGTTCCAGCCAGAATGCCCTTTCCGTCTCCAGCAAGGAAAACACCCCTCCCCTTTTCTGAGCTGCATCAGCAGCTAATGGGAACTCTTCAAAGGAAGCTTTGGGAACAAAAGCAGCCTTTTTCTGGCCTTCCTGCCTGGCTGAGCCCCGGAGGGTGGCCAACAATTATGCTGGATCAGAGGAACGTTTGCTCTGAACCGCAGGGCTTCACACGCTCAAGAGCGCCACACTCACCTTCCTTCCTCAGCTCGCTGTTGTCTGACTGCTTACAGCAGATGATTTTTTCCACCAACTGGTTGTAGCTGCAGTTACCAACTGCTTTCACAATGTCACCAACCTGCAGCAAAAGAAAAGGGCCGCAGTTGGTAAAACTCACAATCTGCTAAGCCAAACAGACACCAGCAGAAAGGTGCGGTACACGGGGCTCCTGCCTGTGGTGGGGTGCTTGCAAGGGCAAAACAAGCATTCCAGTGGACCCATCACTCAAAGGGGCGGCTTCTTTCAAATGCATCTCGTGGATTTTGGCCACAATGTTGAGATCCACATTTTGGCGCCTTCAGTCATCTTGCCAGCCCTGCCTGTCACTCAGGGAGGGGTCTTCCAGCCCCCTAGGCGATGAGGCAATGGCCTGCATCAAGAAGGCTGGAAGCTCCTGCAGCAGCCCATGAGCCCAGGGAGCTGCCTGTCAGCTGAGCTCTTCTCTCATCATCCACCACTCTGCCTTCCCAGGGACTGAGGAATGTCTTTCCTGCAGCGGCTGCTCACTGAGGGCTTCCTGCAACCCCATTTTGAAAAAGCACTCCAATAATAATAATAATAATAATAATAATAATAATAATAATAATAATAATAAATTTAAAACACCCAATTTAAAATCATTTACATTGATAGCCCGGCCTGGCGGAACAGCAGGGTCTTGAGGGCACAGCGAAATACACGGAGGTCGGAGATCTTGCGCAATTCCGGGGGCAGTTCATTCCACAGGGCAGGAGCTCCCACAGAGAAGGCCCTCCCCCTGGGTGTCGCCAGCCTACATACCTTAGCCAATGGCACCCTGAGGAGCCCCTCTCTGTGGGAGCGGACTGGCCGGTGGGAGGCTACTGGTGGCAGAAGTCGGTCTCGAAGGTACCCGGGTCCTATGCCATGGAGCGCTTTAAAGGTGATGACCAACACCTTGAATCGCACCTGGAAGACCACTGGGAGCCAGTGCAGCTCACCCAGGAGAGGTGTCACATGGGCACAACGAGTCGCGCCCATAACCACCCGCGCAGCCGCATTCTGGACCAGTTGGAGCCTCCGAGTGCTCTTCAAGGGGAGCCCCATGTTCTTCCAGACATCAGGCATCAAGCGCCAGAGAATCTGGGCCTTTTCTTGCTATTTCTTGGGTCCTTAGCAAAGCTTGTTCCACGTGATTTTTAGAGCCCGTTAACAGTTGCTTTAATTGCTTTTAAAAGCCTTGCTAAATTGAAATGCTATTCTTGTTGGTAGTTTTGGTATTAAATATTAAAACCATGCTTCCCTGCCATAATACTAATCACATAAAGAGCCTCGTTCTTACCTGAGGATCTACTAACCACCCGTGATATAAGGGAATATCAAGAAGATCGAACACGATGCATTCGGGCGTGTATTCAAATACTCGTACCCCAGTGAACTTCACATTCACATCAAGGCCGGTCTGAAGCTTGTGCAGGATTGCCATTGCATCACTCACGTTCTGTTAAGACCAAGACAAAAATTAACGAAAAAGCTGAAGTCAGTTGAGTGCATAGAGAGACCAAATGCTTTGTCTGCCCTGTACTACGCAATCTCTAGGCCGTCTCACGCTGCAACCGCTTTCATGTTCAAGAGAACTACTTGATTTGCCCTGCAAAATTCTAGATGATCAGCGGTTGGCAGCAAAGAGTCGGAATTTTCTGAATCTCTTTGCTGCCATCTATTAATCATGGGTATTTTTCAGTCCCAATCTAACTACCCTATTGTGAAAAAGTAAAATCCACTGCAAGATAGCTACTTCACCAAAACCACCTTTCCCTTCACAATGTGATAAAGCATACAAAAGTGTGACTTTATGTTCCTGCATATTTTATGCACAGGAGAAGGCTTCCGTACTTGGGATTTGATCCGGCATTTATACCAACGGAAAAATCAAAGCATTAGAATTCACTGTTAGGAAATGCCACTTCAAGTTAAGCTTTTTACCTGTTCATAGTTTAAACGCTGGATTTCAGAGATTTCTTTTGGTTTTGAATCAAGGATATAGTCTCCTGCAAGAAAACCAAAAGTTCTCATTTGAAAACCATCACTCTACAATCCAAACAGATTCACTCTTGCTACAGATCGTCCTCCCATCAGTAGAGGGATCCTACCGACGCCGGCTGGACGGTTGGAGTGTTCCCATCTCTACAATGCTGAGCCAGCGCTCAAAATCAGGCACCGGTTGCTCACCGGCACAAAGAAGCGCTTGGAACCGTCCCGCAGCCCCGAAGGAGGGCTCGAGTTCGGACAGAAAGGCCGGGCGGGCGGGCCGGTTCAGGTGGCAAAGCGGAAAGCCGCCTCGGCGCTCAGGAAGGGCGCGTCGCGGGTGGGGGGAGCCGAAAGACCCGCAGCCCGAGCGCCGCCCCTCCCAGGGGGCCGCGGCGGCTTCCAGGGCTCCCGGGGCGCTCATCGGCGGGCAGGGCGCCCCACCCACCCAGGTACTCCATCAGCTGCTCGGCGGTGATGAGCTCCATCATGGGCGGCAGCTTCACCTTCCAGGCCAGCAGCAGCGCGTTCATGACGGCCAGCAGCGGGCAGGGCCCGTTCTCGTTCTGCGTGACCACCGGCGCGCTCGCCTCCCGCCACCGCACCCACTTCAGGTGGTACACGGCCTGCGGCGGGGCGCGCTCCCGGGCCGGCGCGGGGGGCGACGGGGGCCGCTCGGGCGGAGCCTCCATGCCGCCGCGCCCGGACCGGCGCCGGAACCGCTACCGCCGCCGCCGCCGCGCCGCCATGACAGGCGGAGGCCCCGCCCCGCGGCCGGGAGGGCGTGGCGCGCAGGCGCAGTCGGGACGGAGGCGCACGTGCGGCCGCCGCTCCCTCCCCCGCCGGGCTCCGCCCTCGCTGCGACTCACCCGCCTCTCCGGCACTCCGGCCTCTTCCTGGGGGGCAGCGGGAGCGCAGCCCTCCTCGCCTCCCAAGGGCCACGCGGGGAGCGGCGCCGAGGGGACTCGTGCGGGGCAGGGAGGGTTTCCAAAGGAAGCGCCCGGAGAGCCCCCTTGGCCGAGCCAGCGGGAGCCCCGGACTCGGGCGCTGCAAACGGCCGTCAGTGCCGGACTGAATTGGCAGCCACCGTGGCCGCTGCTGCGGGGAGAGGCGCACGGGGCCCCCGCCTGGGCTTCCCGGGGCTTCAAGCGCACCGAATATCGATCCCCCGTTTTGCACGGGTTAACGTAGAGCCCGGCCGGCATCCTGGGACCCCTAAACTCGGGTGGGAGCCCTCCTGCGCGCCTTGCGGAGAAAGGGGAGCGTGGGGGGGGGTGAAGAGCCAAACTCGGCCCGATGAACCCCAGCCGGGCCAGTCCCGGCAGAGCAGCCCACGCAGCCGCAGACGGGACGCGGCCGCCTTTCCCTTTAAGGCCGGCCCCGCCGCTCCCGCCCACGGAAACTGGCGCAGGCGCAGTCGGGTGGCGCAACACGCCCGCCCCTCCTTCCCTTCCCTCCGATCAGGTGACGACGGAGGGCGCGTGAAAGGAAAAGAAAGCGCGCCTTCGGAAAAGCAGAAGGGGCGGGGCCAGGCAATTCTCCCGGGAATGGGCGGCCTCTGGCGTAGCCGCGCCTACTTCCCTTTCTCGGACGCCGCCTGTGACTGGCTGCGCCGCGCGCCGAGGGAGGGAGGGCAGCTGCTGGGCGCGGGGGCGCGCGCGGCGTGCGCTGACTGGCCGGCCGAGCGGCGTGTGGCGCGCGCGCGCGCGCCCGTCCGCCTGAGGGAGGGAGCTTGTTCTGAGGTACTTTTGGTGGGAACCGGAGCGAGGCCGCAGGCGGGCGGCGGCGGCGGCGGGAGGAAGAGGAAGCGGTGCCGCGCGGTCTCTTCGCCCTTCCTTTCCCGGCCGGGCGGATGCTTAGCGGATAGGCGGCGGCGAGAGGCGGCCACCTGGCTGTGGCTGGCGGCGGCGGGGCCTGGCCGGGCCGGGCGAAGATGGTGCTGCTGAGGGTCCTCGTCCTGCTCTGCTCCTGGGCGGCCGGAGCCGGAGGTAAGCCCGGCCGCGGCCCCTCCCCGTCCCGAGCGGCTCCAGGCCGGGCGGGAGGCCATCGTGAACGCCGCCGAAGCTCCGCTCGGCCGCCCCAACTCGCCGGCGCCGCCGCGGCTGCCGGGCCTGGAAAGTTTCTCCGGCCTCGGCCAGGAGCCGGGGCAGCGCCGCGGCGGGCGGGCTCCGAGCCGTGGTGCGCCGCCTCGAAGCGGCCTTGACTTCGGCGGACTTCGCTTCCGGGAGCGGGGCGGCTGCCTCGGGGCTCGGAGCCGCCTCGGAGGCCCCCGGTACTTGGGTTTCGGCTGGGGCCGGGCGTTGTGGGGGGATCCTGCACGGCCCCGCCTGCCGACCCCTCAAACGGGCCGTCATCCGCCCGGCCCGGGTTTCCCAAGGGCGGATCTGCCTTGGCGGGGCGCAGGCCATCCGGCGGTTCTCCTGCCGAGGGGCTGCCGGAAGGGCCCCGGGGTGTGGCGGGGATCGTGCCAGCTCTCCGGTGATGTCATGGGGCTAGGCAGGGAAGGACTGATACCAGGAAGTGGGGACGGCGGGCGCGCCTGGGAGGGCGACGGGAAGGCCGGCGAAGCCGTGGCTTGGCTTGTGCCCAAAAGCGGAAGGGGGAAAGTCCGAAACTCCCGGGCGGCGCCAAAGAGGCTTCCTTGCCTAACTGCTTAGAGTGGGATTAAGTTCCCTCTGCCATTTGGAAAGTTCCTGGCTTAAATTTAAAAGTTCGGATACTAGTGTATTAACTCAAGAATAAGGTATCTGTGGTTTCGACAAGCCGAGAAGGAAGGTGTTTGAGCAGGACGTGCTTGCCACGAGGGGTAGCAAGGTGAAGAGGGGCAATCGGACCCTTCTCCCTGGCTGTCTGCCCCACCATCTAAAAAGAGAAAGCAAGGAAACGTTAGGAACAGAAAATGGGTGTCCTGCCTGATGTGGCAGCAAAAGACGAAATCGTCCGAAGGTCTCTGATACTTCAGGGCTTTGTAGGTAGGTCAATTTAGAGCTGTTTGGCTAAAATAATCAGATAAAGAAAATCGGTATGTATGGGCTGCTCTTAAATAACATTGCAAATCCGTAAAATATATCATAAGGTCTTGAACATTTCATTGAAATGAAACCCAGCAGTGCTAATATTATACTTACCTGCTTGTATTTACTGTCTTCAAATTATGCTCAAAATGGCTACTAAACACAAAATGTGCTATTAATGAATTAGTTGATGTAGTATATTTCCATATGGAAAATATCAGTAATATTATCAAACTAAATATTTCAGAATACTAAATTAAAAGCATGACCTGATGATTTTACTGAAAGAGTGGGAAAAGCGAGTGTTCTAGCTTGGAAGTGAAATAGAGAAGAAACTTCTTACAGGGCTGTTAATCAGGAGACACTTTATGGATAAACTTTACCAAGACCCAACTATCTCTGAAACTAGAGAGGCTGACATACTCTGTATAATCTGTTCCTTTTCACCATCACTACATGATGGTGAAAGCCCAAAAACAGGGATGGGCTGAGGAGTTTTCTCCAAAGAGTTATCTTAAATTCTGAATCATAATATATCTACATCAGTGCATATCAGAAAACATTGCACTTAATCCTAGTCCTGTACCTCTGTCTTGTCTGTATTTTAATTCAGATAGTTCACCTTCTTGTATTTGATTGGTAACACTATTCTGGAAATGTCATTCTTTCCCTTGTAAAAGATTAGTGTTCAGTGCTTGTAATTGAGAATTTGCAGTCTTCACTTCTCTGAAAATAAACTTTCCATATCTCAGCACACATCCAGAAGGGCCAAACTATTCTTCAAAATGCCTAAAGTAGGGGTCCTCAAACTTGGCAGCTTTAAAACTTGTGGACTTCATCTCCCAGAATTCTTCAGCCAGCATGGCTGGCTTGAGAATTCTGTGAGTTGAAGTCCACGTGTCTTAAAACTGCCAAGTTTGAAGACCTGCCAAGTTTGAAGAACCGGTTTAAAGGTTGTTGATAAAGTTAATATCACAGTACTTTCACTTTCATATTCAGCAATAGCACCCACTGTTTCTAAAAGGGAAATTCCATGGTTGCAATTATGAGTTTTGGCATCGGTCTTCAATATATTTCTAAATTGGACTAAATACTGGATTCATATAGTATTTAAAAACAGCCAGCCAACCAATCAGAAGTGAGTCAGAACTGCGGGGGAGGGGACGGACAAATTCTATGTACTTCTATAAATAGAAAGTTTTCTTATTTTTATTAAAGAACAGTTGAGAGTAATTGGGAGACTTATGATTGTTTACATATCATTTTATGCTAAGCATGAGGAGAAAGTGACCTGAAGGCATCTTTGGTATTTTCCCACCCTTTCCTTTTGTGCAAGAAAGAGCAAAGGCTTTTGTTTTCGCTTTTGAACTAAACATTATTCTGTACCATATTACATCTAAACTCTGCCAAATGCTGTAGGCAGAAATAAACTGTTAATTAAAGGCCTGATGTGGTGGCTAAGAATGGTAGACCAGGACATTTTCTGATTCACATATTCCTTCTGCCATGGAGCTTGTTAGAGTTTATTTCAGATCATCTTTGAAAACATGACCTGTGTGTTGATTGTGTTGGAACATGTTCATTCCTAAAATATTATTCTTTTCTCCACAAAGAGTACAAGTATGGTTGTTTGCTTTGTGACTAGAAAATCAGTAGGTTTTAAAGATTAAGGTAATTAAAGGTAATTCTTTTTGGGAGTATTTGGTCAGTTTTCAACCAAGAAATCAATGAAATAATAACATATTTCAACAGCTTGCCTATTCTTTCAACAACAATTAAGAATTAACTGCACATGTATCTCCTTAGCCTAGATGAAGTTTAGTAAGCTAAAACTAAGTGACATTATATTGTTTTATTACCTCTATTGCTCCTAGAATTAAATACACTTTCCTTTAGGAACCTGTTTTACAATTATATGAAATAATATTTGAGATATTAATTAACAAAATATTACGCTCCAACCCATAATGCAGGAAAGATTGTCAGAATGTGGTGCATTGAATCATGAGTTTGATTTCAGACACACTCTGGAATCCTGTAAACATAACAGCCCCTTTGGGAAGTCGGGGCCTGAAGGTTGATCTTAAGAGCCTTATAATAAGTCAGATTCCACTCAGTTGAATCAAGTTTGTCAAGTCACTGTTTCCTATTCTTGGGCAAAAACACTGTCTATAATAGTTGAGGTTAATAAAGAAATAGTTGAAAAAACATTGTTGAATGTTTAGACTGAAAAATAAATACAAGTGTCAGAATAATATATTTTCTGGTAACAATTTCCTAAGTGTTTACAATCTAATGTTTCTTTTGGCATGATGAAAGTCTCCAGTTTGTAGTTATTTATTTATTTGTCGCATTTCTATGCCGCCCAACTCTCTGGGGACTCTGGGTGGCTTATAACAAAAAATAATGCGAACAATATACCATAAAAGTAGTTTTTAAAAAACAGTCAAAACCCATACACTCCATTCATGGCCGGATCTTGCAAGATTGCAGCAATAGATCAACAGCCCCAGGCCTGCTGGAAAAGCCAGGTCTTCACTGCTTTCCGAAAGGCCAATAGGGTGGGGTCGGTCCGGACCTCAGGAGGTAATTGGTTCCAGAGAGCCGGGGCAGCCACAGAGAAGGCCCTTCCCTGTGGGCCCACCAGCCGACATTGTTTAGCTGACGGGACCCAGAGGAGGCCAACTCTGTGG